TAACTCTTTCGCCAGTTTTGGAGTTATTTCCTATTATTTCTTTGCCATATATTTTCTGCTCAAGTAATTAATTGCCTTAAGAGGTTTCCCATAAGCTTTTGGAGATAATACTGTGTGGAATCCTATCTAGTGTCAATTAATAGTACATTTCAGTTATTACTGTTACAGTTACTGGACATAAAGTTGCCTCTTTTGTTTGTTTTTTGCTTTATTCCAATTTTGAGGAATTGAAGCTTTGTCTGTGAGAGACCGGACATCAGGCCAGTGGGGGCAAATCAGTGACAAGATTGCTTGGTGGAGAGTGTGGCACCTGGTGGTGCATCTGGCGTCCCATCGGCACGGTGAGCTGGAGTGGGAGTCCTGGGCAGCTGATGAGGCTCTTTGGCCTGGATGCTGCTGTTCCATTTCCTGGAGGCAGAGTTTTCCATCTACTCCAGTAAAGCCGCTAGCACAGTAGCTAGAGGCGATTTGGCTCGGAAGCATGCTAGGGATGCTCTTACCACCATGGAGGTGAAGGACACGTGGAAAGGTGGTCACCTCCAGAAAAGCTTATGCTTAATGTGGTGATCTGGGCACAGACATCCAGCCCAGTCTGGCCTCTTCCAAGTCTCTGCCTCCCTCCCCACCCCCCAGCCTCAGTTTCCTCCTGTGTACATTCAGAAGGCAGATGGGAGACCAGACGTGGTCCCTGCGAGGTGCAGTGTGCACTGCACAGGCCATGTCACCGAGTGAGAGCACGGTTTTGGGAAAGGATGGGAGGGACCCCACCCTTAGGACTTCTTAGGCAGAACACCTCTTGTTTGCATATACCTTTAGCTGCCTTGAGGAGCTCAGGTCCACACCCCTATTGGTCCTGTGACGAGCTTGGTAGGAATTCAGTCCTGTGTCTTACTTAGAGCAAGCAGGGGAGAGAAAGTTTGGAAAGCTTAGTTGAGAAACAAAGAGAGTAAGACCTCTTGCATCAAAAGCATTTGTCCCCCAAGGGACAGGCCTAGGTGCCCAGGGGAACTCACCTGGATCGTGGACAGCAGTGGTTTTCTCACCGGAGACATCAGAGTAAGACCTCTTGCATCAAAAGCATTTGTCCCCTGAGGGACAGGCCTAGGTGCCCAGGGGAATGAGCACTCGACCTGAAACCCTCACCTGGATCGTGGACAGCAGTGGTTTTCTCACCGGAAGCTCCCTAGTGGCTGGGAGCACAGTGTAGCCTGCGAGGCGGTGTGCGCAAAGCCTCTGCTGTGAGCTGCTTCTGAAAGCAGAGAGGGGCCGCCTAAGAAATCCAGAGTGAGGGGAATACTCACCAGCAAAGGGATTTTCTGGGGCCATGAACGGCCAACTCATTCTTTTGAAAGAAAAAAGTCTTGCTTTCCAAGGAATTTTGCTTGTTGGCAAACGTGTGGTGTTTTCATTCCGTTTGGAGGATGAGCTAGTTCAGTGGTCGGCAAACCGCGGCTCGCGAGCCACATGCGGCTCTTTGGCCCCTTGAGTGTGGCTCTTCCACAAAATACCACGTGCGGGCGTGCACGTACAGTGCGATTGAAACTTCGTGGCCCATGCACAGAAGTCGGTATTTTGTGGAAGAGCCACACTCAAGGGGCCAAAGAGCCGCAGTTTGCTGAGCCGCAGTTTGCCGACCACTGAGCTAGTTGATTCCCTGGGAGACACGCCTATTGGAAGCACTGCGCCCTGCGAGACGTCTCGCCGGACCAGGAGAAACTCCTCACTGTCCTATTGTGCTTTCCTTTTCCGCCGTGAGAGGAAGAGACCCCAGACCTTGTGGACGTATTTTCCTGTACTTTTTTCTCTTTCTTCTTCTTATAGTTTGTTTATTTTTCAAATTGACCCGTAGAGAAAGTGACTCGTTAGAGTAGAAAGCACATCTGGAACCCATTGGCCGCCCCGTGCTCTCTCCTCCGCTCCCCCGTGGATGTGCCCCTTGGGAACGCAGGGAAGGGGACCACCCCTGGCTTGACAGGTCTAACCTGGGTGACCAGCTGGGAACCACCTTCCAGATGCATTTTATTCCTTCTCTGTGAAAAGTGTTGGTATTGAAACGCCTGGAGGTGGCCGGGAAGATCCCAGCCTACGAGTTCGCAGTGAGACCCTTGGGAACCGCCTCTGTGAGTAGGTGAGGGACTCAGGCCTGGGCAGTGTGTCGCCTCCAGGTGAGGAGGAGCCCGAGGGACCCAGGCTCTCCAGTGGGCGTCAGCCAGGCCTGCTCCAGGCCGCAGCACCATGGGAACGTAGATTCCTTGGAAGACCTCTGCCAACGAGCCGTGTCCCTATTACAACATGCCCAGCTTTCTAAGGATCTACGGGACCAGCCAGCACACAGTTCTCAGCGTTGGGCTTTGCGTGTTCAGGTGGAATTTAAGCAGCGATCAAACTTGTACATTGTCTCTGCCAGCCCCAGACACTAATTTTTAAAATAAGACAAAAAGTGAAATGTGTAAAATCTCACCCTCTGGGGCTCTCTCCTGCTCCACACACACACTCACTGCCGGACGCTGGCCGAGCCCAGGAAGCCTCTCCAGGGACCCCCGGCATCAGAGCCCACACTCAGTACCAACACCACATGCTCAGGGATCAGTGGTACCGCGGCATACGGGCACGTGCTCACCCAGGACGTGGGCATGCAGAACACAGAAAGACCACCCATGTCCACAGGCAACAAATAGTGCATCTGTCCGATCAGCATCCACCCCCATGACTGGCAGGAGCA